ATGGGAAATATCGATCGATCTTACGCTTCTACCGAGAGGCTGCTTCCTTATTGATTTTTTATAGGATAACGGAGACAAATGAGCACAAGGTCCACCTGATGGTAAGTAAATTCTGTGGCCCATGGATATCTACATCTATCCTTGATTAAGTTTAGTGTTAAGTGGTTTCTAAAAGCAGTCACTTGACACGTATGTTTTTTCCCCACTACTAAAGTAAGAAAAATTAAAGGGGAAATTTCGACAGGCAACAGTTGATCTGCATTTCGATCAATCGTTTTTAATACTCCGCATATTTGAAATATCTAAGTCTGAAATACCTATATTACAAGACTGGGTGACTGACCTGAGTGATGAATTCATGGAGTAAGTCTGTCCGTTTACTGTACTATATGTGCGTTTACTTGTTTACGATAAGTTATTTTAAGGTTCCGTACCTCAAAAGGAAAAAAACGGAACCCTTACCTTATAGGATCACTTTGTAGTCCGTCTGTCTGTCTGTGTGTCTGTCAAGACTCTTTTTCTCAGGAACGCGTGAAGGTATCGAGCTAAAATTAATATCAAACACTCAAGTCTATTGTTCCTTGGAGCTGTAAAAAAATCAAACTTCTAAGCCAACGCAATCAAAAGATACAGGCTATTATGCCGCAAATTTTCGACATTCGCAAGGAAATCAAACCTACAAGGTACTTCCCATGAACTCCGAATCTTAAAATTTGGTATGAGGCAACGTATTATAGCACAGATAAAGGGAAAATTGCGAAAAGCATACATTTTTAGTCACATCAAATAATAAAAATATTTATAATAATTTTAAACTTATATACCTACGGATTTGTTCGGAACCCTCGGTGCGCGAGTCCGACTCGCACTTGGCCGGTTTTTTTAATAAAGAATAAGGGTGACAAACGATCAAACAGTCTATCTGATTGTAAGTGTATATACACGTATATATGTATATTATCATATACATTTATCCTGGATTAAAAACCAAAATGCAGATGCGTTGTCACCCATGAGCACTAAGACGAAATATCTCGTTTCTAGTAAAAAGGGTCTCCGGTTCTCTGTTTGAAGGTTGTAGGTTTTGCTTAAATGTCAAGAACGGTCAAGTTTTTCAAAAATATGTAACCTTGCAATAGAATTTACTATTGAATCTTCTTTTTTACTCATCTGCTCCAGAAGGAGAGTAAAGTTTTTCTAGAGTATACATGTATGTCTATTTCTTTGGCCTCTTCTGTAGCTTCAACAGCTTGATGAATTTTGACATATTATGTTTTTTATAGGATTAGGGTGACAAACGAGCATACAGTCCATCATATGATGGTAAGTAGTTGCTGTGGCCCATAGACCTACATCTATCCTCGATTACGAATAAAATTGCAGATGCGTTGTCACCCGTGAGGACTGAGATGGAATGCCTCGTTTCTAATAAAAGGGTATCTGGTTCTCTACACTCACCTTATGAAACACATAAATTGCTTCAGGATTAATATTATTAAAAATAAAATATTTACATACATAAGAATGTTACTCGATATACCTAATATCATGTTAGTCGAGGTGGGCATTTTGATTTTTAATCGACTATAGATGTAGCTGTCTATTGTTTACAGCATTCATTTACCGTCAACCAGACTGAGTGCTCGTTTGTGAGGTAAGAGCATTAAAAGGTTTCTATGATCCGTTAAAGTTAGTTAAAGTTACAGCCTATATATGATAAATGGTGTGATCCGTATTGACTGCTTATTACCAGTTGGTCGGGCTAAGCGTCCAATGTCACTTTTAAATAACATGCTGGTGGTGTCATTTAATAATATTATTAAGTTTCCTGGATACTTTCTTTTCTAATATTAGATTACATACTTATTTTTTTTACGAGGAAATAAAAAAATTGCCACCTGTCTTGGTACTTACTATACGGCGGGGAGTAGAGATGGCTATATAATAATTTTAGTTTATATTGTAATTGATATTGTATATTTTTTATATAAGTTCATAAATAAATAAACTTTCATACGTAATTCTTTTACGAGGAAATAAAAAAAAATGCCATCTGTCTTGGTACTTACCATAAATAAATGAACATAACATCTATTTATTTATATAATATCTTTATTGATTATACAATGTTAAATTGGCGGACTTAATGCTTTTAGTTATTCTCTACAAGTTAAGCAGATAAACTTAAGCTAGTGCTATATAACATGAAAATGTTTATATACATAAAAATAAATATAAAAATATACATAACATTCATATAAATACACTTAAGCATATCTGTCACTACGAATAACCTACATAATATACGCTATACCTGTTAAATAGTATACGCACATAAATAATACATAATACACACATTATAAGCATACTTACATATAAACATAATATATATATATATTATATAGAAATCATAACATGAACCCATACATAGGCAGAAATATTTAAGAAAGTTAGCCACTGGAAGAAGAAAGGTAGTGATCTGACACCGTTCTCTTAAAGGCAGCTACAGAAGTCGGTTTCCTTATGACGGTGATGGTAAGTGGATGCTGTGGCCCATAGACATCTACAGTTTTCCTTAATTAAGAATCAAAATGCAGATACGTTGTCACCCCTGAGGACTAAAATGGAATGCCTCTTTTCCAGTAAAAAAGGTCACCGGCTTTCTGCACTCACCATACGAAACTTTAACATCAAGCTGCTATTTTACGCTGGTATTCTGTGTGAACGTGGTCCTTCCCCGGTCGAGTTGACCCATTCCTGATACAACCATAGTATAGCTGCAGCGTGGGTCTACCGTGGGTCGTGGGTCGTATAAACCTTAAGGCCTTAGCGGTGAAAGACTGAGATATAAATTTGGTTCGGCGAGGGAAATACATAAGATATTATTTTCGGCAAATCGGTAAATCAATAAAACTCAAAGTGTATAGATTAGGAAATACTTTATTTGCACCACGCCCACAGTACGGACATGATCTCAACGCTTAAAATAATAAAATAGTATTTAACCATTATTTACAACGCATCCAAGAGCACCCAGCTTACCATCCGTGACCATATGAGCCCAAAGACAGGTATTTCTGGATGACAGGCTGGGCATAGGACTCTAAAACTGGTGCTGAATGGACGATGGGTTGAGGGATAATAGCAGGAGCAGCGTGGACAACAGGGGCGGCCTGGATAACAGGGGCGGCATGGATCACAGGCCGTGCTACGGAAACTGGGTGGATTACCTGAAATTCAATATCCAATATTAATAAGATTGTTGCTATTTTTATATAAGGTGGATTGTGTGGTCACTTGTGACCCTTGTGAAAGTCGTGGTAGCTCAGATGGCCCGCCCGCACCAATAAAATCCTTAATTGCAATTTTAAGTGCTGATTTACCACGTGCTCGGCGGTGAAGGAAAACATTGTGAGGAAACTTGCATATCTGAGAAATAAGAAAAAAATATTTCGAAGACATGTGAAATTCGCCAACATGCGTTGGGGCAGCGCATCGGACACTTCCTTGCCCTAAAACCCACTCAGAAATGAGCTTTCCGACAGATGGCGATGTATACATCTCGTTTACAAAACGTAAATATCTATACTTATAATATAATAAAACGGAAGAGTTTTTTTGTTTTTTTCTTTGTTTAAACGCGCTAATCTCTGGAGCTACCAGTCCGATTTGAAAAATTCTTTTTGTATATTATAGCCAAATTCATGTGGAATAGTATGGGCTATCTAGCATTAAACTATATTACTCAACTAGCCTTAAATATGGATATTTGTTAAGCAAGTCAGAAGAAAAAGCACTCCCGAAATGATTTATCCGCGTACGCTGGTGTTATTGTTAAGGATACGTAAATACAATGTTCTAGAAAAATATAGACCTTTACTCCGTCTAAAAAAAAGTCCGTGATACCATATGTCTATTTCTTATACATAAGCCATAATTTGGTATTTTGTGACAAAAAATATTGAAATTTAAAAGTGATTTATGAGCGTTATTATTAGGCATGGCTTATTTATAGTTACGAACGAAAGTTACTTTATCATGAAGACAATTTTATGAAGATAAACTTTGTTCTTTATACCATGTTATTTGGACGCATAGTTTAAGAGATAATGTAAAATTAATATAATTTAATACTTGGCTGGGCGCGCGAACGACGCTTAAACCCTAGCCGTTATAAAATGCTTGAACTAGGTCATGTCGCGCACCTCAGACACGTGATGACGCGGGTGAAACCGCGGGGCACAGCTAGTCGAGAATATAATCACTGCGGAGAACAGCGTCAAAATTGCAAGACGTGTGGTACTAGGATTGTCACATCCGTGTAACAAGTGTAACGGTTAAGGCGAAATCTCCTTACAACGGTAGAGGATCAGGTCCAGCAGTAGATTTTTACGGGCTTACGATGATGAAGAGAATAAAAAAAATTGTTCTCTTATTTGATATATCTCTACTGTTGTGTGTAAAAAGGAGTTGGCCAGGCTTGATTTTATTAAAAGGAGGAAGGTGTACCCGTTGGAAGGAAGAGTAACTCGTTGCAGCAGGCTTAGCGATGGCCACGGGGGCTGCGTGGACAATGGGCGCAGCGTGGACAACGGGCGCAGCGTGGACAACAGGCGCTGCTACGGCATAGCTTGGCTGTTGAATGAAGCTAAGCGAGAACAGCTGGAAAAATTATAATTTAAAATTAAAAATTTTGTACAGCCGACTTCAATATAAGTTATTTAAGAATAACTTAAAAACTATTGGTCTGACCTTGATCAAATTCATATGGGACCACACGAGAAGTACCAGCTTTCAAATAAAAAAAGAATCATCGAAATCGGTTCACCCAGAAAAAAGTTCTGAGGTAACACACATAAAAAAAAAAAACGAAAAAAAAAAACATACAGTCGAATTGAGTACCGGCTCCTTTTTGGAAGTCGGCAGAAAATTATCTGTAATATTTTGATCGTCAAATGAAGCGTTAGATTTTTGTGACTTACTAGTACTGTATCACTTACGTCATGATCCCATCCCCCTAAAGAACCACCGGACCAACCAAGAGAGAGACCACCGGGCTTGGGTTTGGCCGCGGCCACCGCGAGGAGAGCGAAGAAAACCTGGAATTATTATTCAAAATATTTAGCCTGTTCCAATTTCTTATATCAATCTATCTTGTTTAATATTACTTCTTTGTAGCAAAAAATTTATAAGACCTCTTTTCATTACTTAGAAAAAAAAGGAATGTTAATATATTGTCACGATTATTACTATTTTAAGTAAAACAAAAATTTCAACGAACCAAATAATATTTTTGAATGAATAGTTATTATATTCTCATCTCTAGTAGTAAACCCTCTTTTGTGAAACTTATTGAATCGTTTATTATTATTACATTATCACATATTATATTGTCATAAAATTATAATATTATAAATATAAACACAATCTATATAAATAATATTATTATTTCGGCTATTGTCCACCGCGGCGATTAATCCTAAGCCATCGGTGGAGTTAGGCATCCAAAGATGAGAGAAAGAAAGAGAAGAGGAACCTTCTTAGTACTCGAGCCGTATTTAAGGCGATACCCCGACCAAAACCTTGTGATAGTGCGTTTTTCAGAGAGTTTAGTTATGAGAAATAAACTACATCTAAAAACAAATTATTAATGATTGATATCCAATCATCTCATTCCACGTTCTAATTTGCGTTTATGTGTTATAAATACATTTAAAATGTACTTTTAAAAAAATAACTAAAATTATTGATTACATGCATCTGTTGCTAAAGGCAACGCTTTAATCATTTGAGAATTACACTAATGGATAGATATTTTAAAAATCTATATTATTCACGTTTTATTTAATTTTTAAAGTTCGTTTCTCTTTTTTAATTAAAATAATTCCAATAATTGTGTGAATTTTATGATAAAGCGGCGTACGTCTAAAGAGGGAACGAATGCTCAAGGTTACTTGGTCAGGGAAACGCCTTAATAAGGCCGATTTTTGAATTAATCCCTTCAGCCACTTGCCCAAACCTAACTTGTACAGATAATCGTTCATATTTTACCGATTATATTATTATTATTATTATTTATTATAGTCGGGTTATCCATGGTACATAAGGAATAACTAGTGTGGAGATTTTATAGCTTATGTTTGAAACGCATTAAAAAAATATTGAATATTAATAATACACAAAGCTAGATACTATAATAAATTTTATATTATATAAAATGTTAAATACTCACGATTGATTTCATGATTATTGAGTACCGGTGCTACTGGAGTGAGAATGTAGTATGATCAATTATCGGCGCGTACGCAGCTTATATACTAAATTTGGTATTTTCAAATAGACCACAAGACCCGCCGGGTTAGGCTACACATCCTGCGACCACTTAGATGTCGATATGTACGTGTCACGAAATGCATGCCTAAGGGCGTTGCTACACTGGGTTATTTAGGTCGTTGATAGATTGAGAGATATAGGATAGTTGTTCAGAAATAACTAATTGTTTTATACATTTATACTCGTATGTAATTTATTTTCCTTATGCATGTGTTGTATTATTTTAGCCCTTGTAATAGTTCTAGCCTATTTTTGTGTATTTTACATAAGATATAGGTATATGTTATTTACTTATTGTATGTTGTTATTAACTTTAAACAAACTGCCACTAATTTTCACCATGCCGTGGGTTGACAGGTATACGTCACTCAATAAGTTTTGAGATTGAATTGATGGAACGCATCCGTGTTATATGTTTCTAAAAAGCAAATTTATTTAAAAATATATCTCCATAAGCCAATTGCTTAATATTAAAAAAAACATAGTTCTATTAATTTGACAAAACGCTACAATGATGGCAAACAAATATCTCAATGATCTAGGTGTACTACACATAACAGCTTCTGAAAATGTGTTTTCCCAGTGAGAATCATCTTCCAAGAGACCCCTAGCTTTGCATGTTGCTTGATAAATATTGTAAATAACACCTTCTTCAGTTCTCCGGTGTGCAAAAGATGTTGGACCTTTTACAACATGCAGTAGCATTCTCAAATAAAAGCAATCACTGTTGTTGGGATGAATCACACATAGATCCTCCCAAGAGCATCCGTTTTTTTAACTCCAGGGAAACCATCGACTACAGTGCCTTGCTTTCGTCGTTGAAAAGTTTTTGAAGTCTGATTCCATGTATAGTAACTTGGAACTTAGTCATATGTCAGTGATTTCGCGAAATCATCTTGAGCATATAACTTGAATAATGCTTTTAATGTTTTATTCCGTAGATTATTAACAACTTCTTGAATATTATTCTCAGTGAAATATACTCTTTGTCCATTTTCTAAACGAACTGCAAAATGAATAATCGTGGGAGCCCGGTTATGCACACTGAATGACAAAATCCTCCATACTGCTTCAGAGCTGCAGATGTAACATCCACATTGAAATTTTTCTACTTCATTCGGATATTGTATGCTGAAAGTGGCCTGATTACTACCTTTATTATTTATATATTAGTAGTTTAAATGCTAGCAATTCTTATCTTTAAGTGTACACTTTTCTTTCCAATTTACCAAGTATTATATAAAAAAATTATTAAATAAAATTTCAATTATCTGTATAATCAAATACACAACATAAATAACATTCTAAGAAATGGTCAGTCTTAGTGGTGAAACTTGTTTTTTCGTTCGAATGAAACAACATCTTATGCATCCAAAATCTATTGATTAAAAAAAATTGTACTACCCGAAACTTTAATCTTAAGGATAAGATAATAAGTATGTACCATATTTTGTTTTATCAATAAACATTATTATTATTATTATTATAATTATTATATTTAATAACATATTGAATTGATTTTATTGAACTGCACAACTCCACGTTGATGTGGGCGTCGAAAATTTTTAAAAGAAGCGAGTTATAGGGAACGATTCATCGGTTGTCAATAAGATATGATAATAAGATAAGAATAAGATTTCGGACGATGGCAGTTTGTCCACCCTGCCCTGGGGATCGTCGTCGATATTTGGAATATCCGTCGCCGCTAGTAGACGTTATATAGATTACGTCAGTTCACCCTTTTTAACTTAAGGCTAGTCGCCTTAGGTTTGTTTTAGGTGACGAATAGTAACATAACTCATGATTGTGACATTAAACTAGATATTCTAATGATAATGGCGGTAACTATAAAAATAACGCTATCGCTCGTATCATCTATCTATAATATAATAATACTCTACAAAACACGCATCACACAAAAACCTGTGAACCGATTTATATGGGACTTTCACTGGCAGATAGCTGATGTTATAAGGAGTAACTTATGCTACTTTTATTTTTGGAAAATAGTTAGGGTTTCGCGCGAAAAATATTATAACCCATGAAATCCAATCACAATAAGTTCCACGCGGGCGCAGTCGCGGGGAACAACTAGTTTAAAATAAATACAAACAACGAATTAGCTTGCAACGTTTAAGTGTTCTGAAATGCGTTAGCTCGATGTGAGCATGATGTACCGACGGTATGCTACGGAATACCTAAATACACACTGGCATAGTTTCCATCAGTGTGCACTTGCATGTAAGAAAGCCGAAGGACCCTAGTGTTTCGTTCCGCTTGTGAGTCGCCGGGACTTAAATTAGAATAAAATTTCTAAATTAATAAATATTTATATCTTTTCTAGATAAAGAAAAGATGTAATTGTTTATAACATGACTACGGCCACGAGTATGTTTACCAAGGACAAATAGCCCGACTAGATAAGTCGAACTTTGGCCGAGAGGCTAATCGAGGGATTCATCTCGGTTGGGGAGCGGTCAGGAGATAACGACACATGTCGTCAGATATACCTCAAAACTTGCAAAGAAGATTGTATAACCAGTGTGTGTTGTCAGTGATGACAAATTAGTGGATCTGAGGTGTGGTCCCTCACTGCTGGCCGAATGATGAAGCTCGTTGCTCGTCGCTTAGCGAGCTATGGATAGGGATATTCTTGATGAACTTATGAATGGAAATTTAAACTAAACAAGAGTAACCATCATAGCTTAACTTGACTAGGAGGGTCGTATCGGCAACCGAGGTGTAAAGCGGTCTACTAATCGATGGAGTGACGACCTAAAAGAGATGCAGAAAGTCAATGGATGCAGGTGGTTCAGGACCGCATTTGGGGCATTGCTTGAAGGAGGCCTATGTTCAAAAGTGGATTTGTGAATGGCTGTAATAATGATAATTGATGGCAAAAGTACATAGATAACAACGGTGCATAGTTTGATTAATTATATATATATATATTTTTTAAATTGACTTTATATTCCTCCAGTAAAGTCGCCAATTTCATATGTAAGGACCTAATAGTATAGATAGATGATATACTCGTATTGGTACCTAGTACTCACAGCAGTGGTTTTAAACTTAGTTACGGAAGACTTTTTTTTATTAGTTGCAGTTTCTTTAAAATTAATAACAAAATACAATAAATAAATAAAATATACTTATATCTTATGTAAAATACACAAAGTCAAAAACAGGCAAAATCATTACAAGAGCTAAAATAATACAACACATACAAAGGAAAATACATACGAATCTAAAGGTATAAAACAATAAGTTATTTCTGAACAACTATCCTATATCTCTCAATCTATCGACTACCTAAATAATCCAGTGTAGCAACGCCCTTACGCATGCATTTCGTGACACGTACATATGTACATATCGACATCTAAGTGGTCGCAGGATGTGTAGCCTAACCCAGCGGGTAGTCTATTTGAAAATACCAAATTTAGTATATAAGATGCGTACGCGCCGATAATTGATCATACTAAATCCTCACTCCATTAGTACCGGTACTCAATAGTCATGAATTCAATAGTGAGTATTTAACATTTTATTAACATAACATTTATTATAGTATCTAGATTTGTGCATTAATAATATTCGATATTAATTTCTCTTTTATATAATGCGTTTCAAACATAATCTATAAAATGTCCAGACTAGTTATTCCTCATATACCATGGACAATCCGACTATAAATAGAAATCTATAATAATCTATATATGGGATAAGGATGACAAGCGAGCCCACAGTCCACCTGATGGTAAGT